GTCGTCAACCAACTCAGTCAATTCATGCAATCCCTACGTACTACACACATGGATGCTGTTAATCGTGTACTTCGTTACCTCAGAGGTTTTCTCAACAAAGGTATACTATTATCAGCTTCTAGCTCTCTTCACATCACCGGTTTTTGCAATTTTGACTGAGGCGGCTGCTCCACTACTCGCCAATCTACTAGTGGTTATTGCACTTTCCTTGGTTCTATCCCTATCTCATGGAAGATAAATAAATAACCAACTATATCTAAATCTTCTGCAGAAGCCAAATATAGATCAATGGCAACCCTAGCATGTGAACTTCAATAGTTAAAGTATCTTCTTGCAGATTTGGGCATTTCACATACATCTCTGATGACCATGTTTTGTGACAATCAAGCGGCTTTTTACATTTCTCACAATCCAGTGTTTTATAAAAGCACAAAGCACATCGAGATCGACTGTCATTTCGTGCGTGAAAAGATTCGGAATAAATTATTGTCTCATCAATACATCCTCTCATCATCTCGAGTTACTAATATATTCACCAAGCCACTTGGAAATGATGCTTTCTTAAGACTCATTCGCAAGATGGGCATTCTCGACATCCACGCTCCATCTTGAGGGGGAGTATCAGAATATCAGCTCCACCACATCACTTGCTAGATGCACATAGATTTCTTTCATTCAAAGTTGCTATTACTTGCTTCCTTAAATCAAGTACTTGACCATGAATATCTCAACTAGTTATTGACCATGAATATCTTAACTTGTTATTTGTTTCCTTAGATAGAGGACCAAACTGAGAAATACTCTCTTGTAAAGTCTATACCCTCTTGTAACACATTGAATATATATCAGATTTCTCCCAATACTTCTCTATTAGTGTTGTTTATTACTATATCATGAAAAATAACATACAGAGGATCAGCAGAGGGTTGAAGCCTCATAACCGGCTGACAATCTCCCTCCACCACCACATTCTGATATCCCCACACCTTGGGAAGATAGATCATTTGTGTAAAAACAAAACCTTCAGCAATAAATGGGTGACCAATATGAGAGAAAAAAACCAAAGCCACTCAGATAGGATGACCAACATGATTTATCAAGATCAGACCTCCCTAACATATCTTCCTAGATGAATCAAAGGCTGCATAAAAAATGAGTTTAAAACAACCCAATGCCGGAACACACCAACGTGAAGTAACAAACGCCACCAAGGGGGAAGGAAGAGAAAACAAGCTGGATTGACGCGAAATCTCATGGAAAACAAGAAATTTCCTATGACCCTTCTGGGCTGTCTGAAATGGATCCCAATGTCTGCCATCAAAGATCAGGTCATTTCGAGGGTATGGCCCAGTGGTTATTAAACGCCCTATTCCCTGAATGTTTCTATGTTTTTCCTTAATCTATAGATGTTCTGTTTAGTGAAAAAAAAAAATCTAATTCTTCTCAAATTTCATAATAACAAAAGGCTCGTGCACTAAGCTAGTCCTTTTAATTACTTTATAATCAATGACATTGAAAGGTTCAAGCTGTTTATGACGCTCCAAAACTGGACACAATGCCTCATAGAAAGCTAGCTGAGAACCTTATACTAAGTTGTGGAATTAATAGATGAATTAATTGCACCAAGTTTGCAAAGAGAATGCTCTAAATTGTTGTAATCGTGTGTTTGTCTAACCCAGTCCATTAAGCAAAATGAATTTTATGCAAATCTTATTATATGCGTTTTCCTCATTCAATTGTCATAATTGCCCCTAATCACAAAACTTCTCAACCATAAATTGGCACAAGAATCAACATTAATGCTGTGTTAAGTATGAAGGAAGGATTGAAGAGGTGAGAAAATAAGAAGGAATGAATGAATTTCCTTTGTTTGGTAGAAATGATAGAAGGAAATAAAGGGAAATGGGAAGGATGGGTTATTCTTTTACTTTTATAAATTTTCATCCATAAAAAAATGGGCTGAAAATAGGAGGAAAAACAATTTAATTGTTATAAAAGTTTTAAATTAAATACTATTATAAATTATACAAGTTTTAAATTACACTACTATTCTCTATAAATTACAATATTATAAATATTATTGAATATAATGGTAAAAATAATTAAACTTTCTCTTTCATTCTCTCTTAACGAATGTAGGAAATTTTAATTTTATTCAACTGAACAAAAAGAAGGAAAAACATAATAATGTCTCATTTTCTTTCTCCCTTCCATCTAATTTTTTTCTTTTCCACGGAACAAAGCATAAAGATGTTTTGCAAAAAATTGATGTTTCCTTCTAATTAAATTTATTTGTAAGCAACTTATAATGAAATTTGCAAAGAAAGTGATGATAAAAATAAAATAAAAAATGTAATTTTTTACTTTTAAAAAGTTAATAGACATATGTTTAGTATAGTATGTAATCTATTATTTTGAAATTGAATAATTTAATTTAAATTTTATAATATCAAGATACAAAATTTTAGGGGGCCAAACACAACACTTATTCAACGCTAAACCACTTTTTGTTTTTGTTTTTGTTTTTTTATTTTTATTTTTAATTTTTTTTTTTTTTTTATAGAAACTCAAATTAAATACCACTTTAACGAATAAATATAATATAAAAATGCGGAGTGTATGAACTTCAATTGCAATTTCAATCTTTTTACTCATTCAATCGCAATTTTTATTTTATAAAACTAGATTGATAATTTGTTTGTAACATATATTTTTTTTTCTTTCAAGAAAGACAATTCATACAAGAGAAGGAAAAATACAATCAGAAAGAATAGCATCACACAACTACGGAAGCCAGATACTCCACTCAATATCACCACATTTGGCTACAAGAGCCTTTTTGCTCAACAAGTAAGCGACCACATTTCCCTTGCGAGAAACCCACGCCAAGGAAGATCCTAAACACTTCTTGAGAAGAAAAGAAACATCATCAAGAACTACCAAAAGAGCTTCGACAGCAGGCTGCAAACGTATAACGGATTGGCAATCTCTCTCAATGACCACATTATGGCAACCCAATTTTTTAAAAGAAGAAAAGATTCTCTAAGCACTAAGCCTTCAGCCAAAGACGGACCGCGAACATGATTGAAAAAAACAGAAGCAATCTTCACCGGATGGCCCATGTGATTGCGCAAAATCATTCCCCCACCACAAGTCTTCTTTGAAGAGTGGAAAGACGCATCAAAATTAAGCTTGTAAAAACCCACTAGAGGGGGAGTCCAAACCACAGATGGAGGAAGATGAAAAGGCAAGGGAAAAGCAAGCAAAGAATTCTGGCGAGAAACCTCCACAAACTCATTGAAACCCGAAGAGTTTTCTGGGCCACTTCAAACGGATCCCAGCTGCGATGGTTGAAAATCAAGGTTGTGTTTGGATGAGCTTCCTGTTGTGAAAAGTCCTTTCACTATAACGGGCTTTCAAGAATCACTCATAGGAAGGAATTTAGAAATAAAAAAGGTGTTTGGTAAACCTTACTTTTGATAACTTCTTTTATGTAAAAAAGTGATTTTACTCACACGATATGTGTTTGGTTGTAAAGTCACCGAAGTCCTTCTACTATTAAATAACTACAAATTTGCAATAATATCCTTACATTCTATTTGACACAAATATTGAATCATATCAACAACAGTTTAGTAATTCAAAAAAAATAATAATAATAATAATTGTAATTAACATAAAATTATAATGAACAATTAGATAGAACACTTCTACCACTAAAAATGGATAATCGATATGTTAAATATTATTTAAAGAAGACAATAAATTTCCATTTATATATAAAGTAAACATGATCAATAATTTAAATACTAATTTCAAATAAACAATAATTATTCAAAATAAATAAATTAAAATTTTAGAATCAATCCTAAGACATAAATAGACTAAGGAACAATTTATCTAGTTGATTGCCATATTGAATTAGCAATCCCATCATGTATAATGCTCATCTCTTGTTGTTGCCCGCTTATTCCAAACGAAATTTTTTTGTATGAATTTTTTTTGCCTGCGGATTTTTTTTCCTCCATACGAAATTTTTTGTAGGAATTTTTTTTGCCCGCGTATTCATAGGAATTTTAAAACTTTCCATAGGAGACGAAACATATCAAAACTCTTCATTGGTCAAAGAAATTATAGAGATTGATAAAGGTGAACTTACAGGGATTCGATAATGGATTCTAGGGCAGTGGCAAATTGGGAATGGAGAATTTGATGAAAAATACTATGATTAGGAGTGTAGCAACACTCAAATTCATCTTCAAAATCCTAAATAATATTCTCCAACAGAAATCCAAACACTTGTGGGCTGAGTAACTATGCGGAACTCCGGCGAGAAAGTACGCTTCATGCGAATTTTCTTTTTCCTGTTAGTTCGTCATCTCCCCTAGCAGTCATAGATTCCTCTAGTAATAAAATTGAGAACGAAGGTTAATTTGGAAAAAAAATTATAATTTATAAGGTCAAAATTGTAACAACAATATTTATCACTTAAAACCCTCCTTGCTTCCCGAGAAGTGAATTTGAGAAGTCTCATTTTGTTGCTTCGGTAGAATGGACTTTTGAAGAGTTGGGCTTTATAAGGAAGCCCGTTTAAAAATATTTACCAAACACTCAATTTTTTTGTGAATTCCTTCCTGGACTTAAAAGCCCATTTTGAAGCCTCCAGAAGCCACGCCAAACACAGCCCAAATCATTTCTGCATTTCCAAATTGACCAACAAATGAAAGCAGCGAGGAGTCCGACGAATGCCAGCGCATGACGTTTCTGCCAAAAGGACGGTTATTGTCTACCAAAGTCAAGTTGGAGAGGGCTGAGTTTCCAAACTGTACAAGCAAACGGGCACAAACAGAGAAATTTAATTAATCGAACATCAAGTACAACTCTCGGTGTTACAAAAGTAACCAAACACACAGCATGAGTGTAATTTATATCAAATAAAGGGCAATACAGTCATTTCATTATCCCAAATAAATCAACAATACAGTTCTATCTTCACCGACTCTTGCTGCTATAAAGTTGTCTAAACCCAAACTCGAAAGCTGTGGTGTATTGACTTATTTCACTTCTCGATTCTATCGTTCGACGCAAGAGAAAAATGGGCAGAAAATTTTTCGTCGGCGGCAACTGGAAATGCGTATTTCTCTCAGCTCTGTCTTGATATTTCGATCGTTTATCTCTCTCTCTATATATATGCACACAGTACACACATATACACATACACGTATATATTGCTTCATGAAGTTTTCTTAAATCAACAAAACCGATCTAGAATCTCGCATGCATGTTGTGGTTTTCAGCAATTTGTTTCAGTCAATTGGATTTCAAAGTCGACCGCTTTTATTGGATATTGCGTTACTCATAAAAAAAAAAATGATGTCATAAGGCTTTCGAGGTTTTTAGAGTGATTTGGTTACTCAAGTTTGGATTATGTATTGTTAATCTAATATATAAAATATGTTTATGTGGTTTCTATATTACTAGAAAAGTATAAAGTAATCAGGAACACTGAAATTAAACTTGGAAGTTTAATAATTTAATCTGAATACTCTGTTTGAGCACTTAGCTACCAACTTTTTTTTTTTTTTCCTCCAAGAAATGAGGACAGATTCCACCCAATACAAATAGAAATTCAGCCCTAGAGATTTGAGTGATGCCAATCTAGGATTATTAAAATTTTCAAATGTTCAGGAATTTGCTTCTTGGCCTACTATCATGTTATTGTGCCGGAACCCGGAATTATTATTACCGGGCATGCTCTAATGGTGCAGCACTCTAAACATGCATTGTTCTAAGTGATAACGTTTCATAACCATTTCGTACTGAGGTTTGACACTGTTTACTATACAATCCCAGTATCTAGTTTTGTGTAATATTATCAACTAAGTTATTGTATGTATTGGCAGAATGGAACAGCCGAGGAGGTGAAGAAAATTGTCACCATGTTGAATGAAGCTGAAGTGCCGTCAGGGGATGTTGTGGGTAAGTTTGAAACCTTTGTCCAAGGAAGATCCCTTTCATTTTCTTTAAGTTGAGATTTGAAACTACCTAGCTATTTGTCTTACTCTGTTGTTATATTCTCTTTGTTTATTTTGGGGAATCTCAATCTGATTCAGCAGTGATTATTTCTTATTCAGAAATCACATTTCAATCATAATTTACTGGTACGCATAAGTCATAAACCATGGAGAACTTCCCAAGAAAGTTTTTAGGGCTGTCATTGGTGTCCATCTGGCAAGCATTGCGGTTGCTGAAGTTTTTGACATGTAATCCGAAGACACTTAAGGATTTAGAGTGGGATCTAATATTGAGATATTGTAATTTAGTAATAAGACGTGAACTACATTGGGGTCCCTTTACAATTACTCATATAAGTTCCTCTGAATTGCAACTCTCGTTCAAGTTACTTGATTTGAGAAAAAAAATATTACTACTGAACTGTATGACAATATCGTGCCAGCACATAATTTGTGCATTTTGAAATATGACACTATTTTGTGTTGAATGTGAATTATGCATTATACGAAGGTGTGTGTTGGATTTTCTCATTGTTGAATTTTCAAGTCCTTATCTTGTTTCAATTTGATTCTTTTGACTCAAGTCAACAAATTCTTGTCCAACTATTTGGAGTCGGAATTCAAGTCCTTATCTTGTTTCAATTTGATTCTTTTGACTCAAGTCAACAAATTCTTGTCCAACTGTTTGGACTCGGATATAAGAATCATGTTCTTTCACTTTCCTCTACCTAAGACCATAACTTCAGTTAAACACTTAAACTTTTTGTTAGCGTATTTCTTACTATCTTAATTCATGTTAATTTTAATCTTCCCTTCCTCTTTGTTTACCCTCAATGCGAACCTTGCCCTTTTTTCTTACTGCTACAGTTATTGGTTATTGGTACACATGGTCAAATCATTTTACTTGATTGTCTCTCGTTTTATCATCAATGGGTGCTACTTCAACTATCTACTTCAATAGTATTCGTTTTCAGTTTTATCCTTTCTTACCTTGCTACACATTCCTTGTTCTTGTTTAGTAAGTTTTTCCTGATTTTCTGCTATAGATTATGTTGCTGAAATTCAATTCCAGCTAAAGCCAAATTTGTGGAGGTTGACTTGAACCCAACCTGACCAAAGGATAATCGTGTGCTCTTGGCTCTTGTCTTTAAAAATAACATTGCTCTCAAATTAAACGCTGATACTTGGTTAAAACATAAATTGGTCATGGGTTGATCGATTAGGCATTTTTTGTTTAGGTACACACCCATATTTTAACTAAGAGTTGAAATGGGCACACTCTTATGAGATGGTAGGAGATACCACTCGAGTTTAGACCCTTAGTGGTGAAGTCATTAGCAACTTGATCTCCACCTCGTGCATACTTACAAGTATCTTCATGTTATATACTAAAAAATTGTTGCAAGCGTAAAAGAAAAGTTTATAGATTTATTATTGTGTTCTTAATTCTTATTATATGTCTTCTATTAATTTAAAGCATATATGAGAAGTCTTAACTTAATTAATACTTATAAGCAAGGGACATAGGCATGCATGCTCCGTACCGCAATTATCTCTGCTCACCTACCTCATTTCATGTTGGTCACAGTCACTCCTACCTGAGCTCATCTAACCACTGTATTAACAGAAAAATGGGTGTCCCCGTATATTGTTTTTCAGCTTCATTGCTTCAATATGTAAATTTATTTGGTTAGAAATTATTGATTTCATACTTTGTCTTTTAGTTGACAAACGATAAAGTACTGTTGCAATTTCTCCACTCCCTCCCTCTCATATCTTCTAGCTGTTACAATTTCAATTTGATAGATCTACAAGTTTTGACATGGTGTAGATGTGTTTTACTTGCAGAGGTTGTAGTAAGCCCTCCATTTGTCTTTCTTCCTCTGGTAAAAAGTTTATTGTGCCCTGATTTTCATGTCGCTGCACAAAACTGTTGGGTTAGGAAAGGAGGTGCTTTTACTGGTGAGGTTAGGTATGTTATAATATGATCGTTTCGCATACTAAACTGGAATCATTGCCTGCAAATCTTTATATTGTTATTTTTGTAATAACGAATTCTGGTTTTGTTGTAATTTGTTAGAAAAGTTGCTGGAAAATTTGTTGTTTTTGTATTCTACCATTGTTGTCTAAGTTGTCATCATCACAGTCTATAGAAGAATTATGGAGTGTGATTTCCTTACAATTTTTGTGTTGAAGATTAAGCTGATTTTTACATAAGATGTTAAGAGATTTTAATTGGCAGACGCAATCATGGACCGGAAAGTGCAATTTTTTTTTTAATGTACTCATTAATGGATCTGGTGTCTCAAAGTTGCTGGTCAATGGTGCAATTCAGTTTTAAAAATTGTAGAACATTGAGATATACGGCAAATAGCAATATGTTGATTGGAATACTGATGCAAGGATATACCATGTAGATTTCACATAAAAGTCCCAATTTCTTTTCAAAATACGGGAATTGTCAGTTGTCCAATGGCATGTTGCGCTACACGGTCTATATTTCTTTCATGTGTTTCATCCTTCTGACAAATTTTTTTCAGTCTTTGAGAGCTTTCACCAATGTAGGTTTTTTTAGCTCTAGAGGTTGTAAAGTCTATTCCTGTTGAACCTCTCACCAGAAACATAGATTATCATATCACTCAAAGTTGGTATCTAATTTAGAAGCAGATGATAGAATGTTTTATCAAGCGAACTGGGTGTTGTAAATTTATGTCGGGTTCTAACTCTCTATCAATCTATCTACCTATCTTTATCTTATCTATCTTTCCATCTATCTATTTCTCTTCTAACAGTCTATTTTGAAGCTGACCTATCAAAACAGAAATAACTTATTTCTTTTTTCATATTAATTTTCATCTATATCTTATATTTGAAATTAGGGATCATTGTTTGGTTTCACTTTTTAAAACACGGGTTCAAATCTCAGAGCAGCCACGTTTTTCAAAATCATGTCTAATTCCAATGCATAAGCAGGACATACAGCGACTGGGTAAAACACTTTTTATCCTATGTCTGAAAATAATTTAAAGAACAATTAGTTTCTGCTTATTAACCATGAATCTAATGGTTAAATGTTTTATGTAGTTAAATTGAATATTTTAAATTCACTGTTAAAATTCGTTCCCCTTTAGTAAAAAATTGATATTATAATAAAACAAAAAAAACCCTAATATATATATTTTTGTGGTAAGTAAAACAAACCAAATACTATTGATTGATAAATACATATACTCTAAAATGACTTGTACACCTCCACCATGTGGAGAAAGGAATGGCATTTTCAATTTTGAATCGCGAAAAAACTGTGTGGCCAATGATGGGGTTGGTTATATTGTACCATTGGTGTACTTCAGGATTGTATATTCATAATTGAACCTCATGAGATATTTATGTATTTCAATATTATTTTACTTGGTATTATTAATATTCTAAGCAACTCACTTTTATCATATTATACATTCCATAATTGTCAAATTTAGTTTGTCTATGCAACATTTTTACAATAAATAGTGCATTAAAATCACCACTCACACTTCCAAAGTTTCATTTGATAATTTCTTTAAAAGTTGGTAATATTTTCAAAGATAAAATGTGATCTTATTTATATCTTTATTGTTATTTCACTCTCTGTATAAGCCCCACACCGGTTAATTATCTTCTTCTTCTTCTTTTTTTTTTTTTTTCCCCCCCCAAAAAAAGAGAGCAACGAAAAGGAACTGATTAGAATGTTTGAATCATTCATTGTGTATATACCATCATTTATCAATTCAAATTTTCAAAATTTAATTTTCTACTGGAAATCAATATTTTTTCTTTCCGCTTTTTGCATCTTCTGACTAGGGAAAATATTGATGTTGTTGTGCATAAAGAACTTGTCGTGCGCTATCTGCTTATTATTTCTTTTGCATCTTTTGACTAGGGAAAATATTGGTGTTGTTGTGCATAAAGAACTAGTTGTGCACTATGCTGCCTATTATTCCTTTGCATGAGTTAATTTTGAGCTTGAGTTCTCATGTTGCCACAGTGCTGAGATGCTTCTTAATTTGGGCATTCCTTGGGTCATACTTGGTCATTCTGAGAGAAGACTTATATTAAATGAATCAAATGAGGTAAGCTATGTTGCAGTAGCATAAGTGTAACTTCTTGTCTATGTACATACTCATTTTACACATCAATGATTGTTGATCTTACTATCTGTGCTTTTGGCACATCAATGCAGTTTGTTGCGGATAAAGTTGCATATGCACTTTCTCAAGGCTTGAAGGTGATTGCCTGTGTAGGTGAGACGCTTGAGCAGCGAGAATCTGGATCTACAATGGCTGTAGTTGCTGCACAAACAAAAGCAATTGCAGGTACGTAGGCAATTTGCACATTCCTTAAAGAGTTTGGTACTAGAGATAGTTTTTCTGTAGTTTTTCTATCTAAATCGTTTGTGGATGGTTTCTTCTATATAATCCTCTATTCTCTACCAATAGCAACTGTAAAAATAGATGTTTCTAAAAACTGTTTCAATTCAATAATTTACAGTTGACATTCCCCGTTTTAGTGTTTTTTTTTTTTTTTTTTTTTTTTTGTTAGTTCCATTTTCTGTATGGATTTGTATTTATCAAGTAATCAAATATTATTTTGCAGATAAAGTATTGAACTGGTCCAATGTTGTTTTAGCTTATGAACCAGTTTGGGCCATCGGAACTGGAAAAGTTGCAACCCCTGCTCAGGCTCAGGAAGTAAGTTATAGTCTATTACGGTATTGGTTGCTGAATTCAGTTTATATTAGGTTAATTTTAACTGGGATGTTTATGTGGGCAACACATGCATCCAAGATCTGTTATTTATCACATTTCACCTGTGCTGGTGCGTCAACTTCTAGCTGGGCCATTACCTAGCCTTAGCTCTCACCACTTTGACAATTGGAGAACCATGGTTCAACTGTTTAAGGTTACCTCTAGGCCAGGGACCTTTCTGGACTATTAGCTGATGTATCCAAACAACTGTCCTGACTATCCAATGGATAGATTGCTCAATGGTTGCATCCTAAGTCCTCCAGAAAAATGTAGTAATCCCTACTTAACGTGTTGAGCCACATCTTCGTTGTTTCTAGCATACTTGGTGCTCCTGTTTCATTGCAACCATATTGAGTTTTTGTATTGCCAATCCTATCATCTCCATCCATCTTTAAATTCTTGTTCCATTTACGCACCATAATCTATTAACAAAAAATTGTCTCACTGGCAGGTCCATTATGAATTGAGGAAATGGCTTCAAGATAATGTTGGAGCTGAAGTTGCTGCATCAACCAGAATTATCTATGGAGGTATCTTTGTCTTTTTGGCATCAGTTCTCGTCCAATTCCTGGTTATTATCTTTTTGCTCTTTATATTTACTAAATGCGAGATAGAAATATTATATTCTGAAGCAATTTATATATAAATTGGAGGCGTTTTGACAATATTAAGTAATGATATGGGCAAAAGTAAGAGTTCTTTCATGTCTGATTCAACATTAGGCATTGGGGTAGCGCAAGCTTTCTGCCAATCATGGAAAATACTACATGCACTATGTTATCATATCATAGTGAGAAATTATTGTTTGTTGCCTCATGAGCTGTAAGTACTTCTAATTTACTTAAAAATGTAATATAAGGCGGGGACTGTTGTAGACTTCTAGTGCAGTGGCAAAGACATCTCAAATAATGCAGTTAGATGTGTCGAGGTTTGAGACTTTCAGTTTTTGTTATTGAGTCAGAAAATTAGAACCAATTTCTAACTCCTTTAAACTTGGTTCAGTTTACGAGTAGCTCAAACATATCCTCTCTTGTTTTTTCAGTTACTGACTAAAGAGTTCTAACGCACCAACCCCAATTAAAAAGATGTGAATTGACCTTCCAATATGAACTGTTTTGTTGACCCGAAAGAATCCTATTCTTCATGTGTATAATAGCATTGGTTTGATTTTTTGGGTTGGGTTGGTACTACTAGGTGCATGGTTGAATGTAAATTTAATTTATTGGTTCTATACTTGTTAACTGAAGACTGGACTAGGCTTCTGTTAGAACAGAAAAAACCAGCTAAAATCTGGTTGCATTTGTCAAGGATCGCACGTTGTGCAAGATTGAGTTGCATCCAAGGTACAAATGGAGGTTTATAACCATAAATGTTCTATACCTCTTTTGTGTTTGGAACTTTTGAATAAATGATGCCGATGATTAATAAGTTTGCATGGGATTCACTGGCGGTTTAGTTATATATTAGTTTTGTTGGATGTGAAGGATTGGATATCACGCTGTTGGGCGACTAGACCAGCTTGGATGTGAAGTATAACCTCTTCTCCCTAAAAGGGGAGGTGAAGGGTTCGAGTCTCATAGTGGGCATTTGTGGGGTGGGTGGTGAGTATATTTACCTGATAAAATAAAATAAAATAAAAATAAATAATAATGGATTGGATATCAGGCTAAGTAATTGTGCTTACACTTACTGGGGAGGAAACTATACCTGTGGTTCACTGTTACGGTAATTTTCAAACGAAATTTGGCCACACCCTCCTAGGTTTCCGGACCACAAAGTTTTACATATTTCCTTGAATTTTAAGAACTGTAACATTTAATAAATAGCCACCCTATTTGTTTACTTAAATGCCAATTTTAGGTTCCGTGAATGGAGCAAACTGCAAAGAACTAGCAGCACAGCCGGATGTGGATGGATTCTTGGTCGGTGGAGCTTCCCTAAAGGTGGTTGTTTTGTTGTCTATGTCCCATAAAATCCTATTATATGTTATTATTGGGTTATTTGTTTCTAAGCTTGTTGACTGACTCATCTTACACCTTTCATTTGGATCCAGCCCGAGTTTATCAACATCATTAAGTCTGCCACAGTGAAGAAGAATGATTGAATTTTGTTATCAAGCAGCCTCGTCTTCAGCTTTTTCCTAGAATGCTTGTTTGTTTTTTTTGGGGACAATATTAGCTTTTAGTTTCGTGGCTGTGTTGGTGTGCTAAAAATAAACCACGGCCAATGGGGTTCTGAGTGTAACAAATCATGAGTTTTTCTTGTATGTGAATGCGAGGATTTTCTCTTTTTTGACACAATAATATAATTTACCGGCGTGGACCGGTTAATTTATGGAGGTGTTTGGTTGCTATTGAAAGCTAGTACTTTTATCGAAATGTAAGGATAGACCTTTGTATTAGACTCTAATAATAGGGTATTCAGGTGCTTTCTCCATCCATTATAGGAGATGTGCCCCTGTAAAGGTCAACAAATTACTTCACCTCACGGGTATAGAGGTTAGCATCTCCCCGGTAATGCAAAATAAAAATATAATATATATAAATATATATATATATATATATATATATATTATATGGGTTAGAGCAACTCTAGTGGGTTGCTATTTTCAAAATATAACATGTGGGTTTAAAATGGGCTCTTCAATAGATGTCAAATGGGCTATCAAGATATAACTTTGTCAAATATTGTGCCAAATATAACACAACATATAACTATTGCTAAATTTGTTATTGCTCTATTCCTTCTCTCTATAGGCTGCCAATTTGGTGTTAGGCTTGTGTATATATATATATGTCAGTTGTGCTTGTGTGTGTGTGTATATATATACATACATATATATATATATATATATATATGTCAGTGTTGTGTGTATATATATGTATATGTATGTTGTGTGTGTGTGTATATATATATATGTGTGTGTATATATATGTCTGTTGTGTTTGTATATATATATATATGTTAAAAAAAAAATTCTTTTAAAATTATAGTTGGGAATGGTAGTTGAAAAATAATGGTTGTGTCAAAAAATAGTATTTTTGATGAAATGTATTATTGGAACATAATTATTAAAATATAACATTTTGACACAGTAACTCCTCCTTTTAAAATATAGATTTGACATGCAAAAATGACATTTTGCATTGGAGAAGGTCTTAAGTGCAAAAAAACAAAAAACTTGTAATATAGGTTTTGTGCACAAATTGTTTCTTTTTTAAAATGTGCGTTCATAAAATTCAACAAGGTGCAAATCAATTTCTGACCACTCTTTGACAAAAAGTAAATATAAAAGTCCCATTTTACCCTTTTTTTTATTCATATTTTACCACTAACAGAATGAAATCCCTTACCCCATTTCCTATTCCCCCGCTCGCTCTCTGTCTCCTTTTGCATAAAACCCTAACTAATTTATAACTAAAATCGTTGTCGTCACCGCCGTCGCGTGACGATCTCTGCAATTGCAAGGTCAACCTCCTCTTCCTCCTCATAACTCACATCACTCTCTTCAACACCGCCACCTCCAAGTCGTACTCGAACCGAGCAGCCGAGCTCCTCGACCTCCAATCCCGATCTGAATCGCGGGTATCATCCACCTCAACCAAATTAGATTGAACTCCTCCATTAACAAAGAGCAACCACAACCTCAGTTCGTTGTTGCCGCCGCCTCAGAACGTCACTGAAATTAGTTCCTCGCCGCCGTCGCCTTGGAATGTCACGACAGATTTGATGGGTTGAGTATATGATCTTGAGGAGAGAGAAGAGAGGAGACTGTTTGTCATTCCTTTTTTTCCCTTTCTTTTTATTTTTTTATTTTTTTATTTTTTATTTGACAGAGAGAAGAAGACTGAAAATCAAGAATTTTTCATCGTTTTATTAAGAAAAACCTTATTATTGCTATATATATATATATATATATATATATAAGATCTCAGATTGCCAAAAATAGAAATAAAAAAAATTGAAATACCCAAATCAAATTTGCATAAAAAAGAGAAAGAAAGAAGAGGGATTTATGGTGTGAAATCCCTTAATTGAATAGAATATTCAGGAAGTTTTCATAATTTTTTGGCCGAAAAAAATGAGCGAACCAGCAAATAACACTTGGCCGGAAACAATGAAACGACAGATTGGCGATTAGCAATGACGACGATCTTGGTGTTATGTGGCAGCGACAATCATGGGCGCTATCTGGGTTTTGCCGAACTGTGTAAGCTTCACCGGTGGGTCTGTGCAGCCGTGGATTATTGCCACAGTAAGATAGATATTGATTATAGTAAAATGACTCAATTAGTCCTTAAAATTAAAAGTCATAATAGTATTTTTAAGGGTATATTTGTTACAAAAATATTAGCTTTGTGGGTGAGTTTGGGAATTGTCTAAAATTATAATTTTACATTGTTTGAATTTTTTAAATATTATTTCAATTTATTGACAAGAGATTATTATAGTCTTTTTATGCAAAGAGGGAGTATTTGCATCAAATTGATAGTATAGGAGAATTTTATACCACACTGTGACTTTTTTGCACTTTATCGATAATAAAGAGGGTTTTTTTGCACTTAACCCTATATATATATAGTTAAGGATAGTGATGTCATATTTTTTAAAATTCATCTCATAATTCACCATAGCGTAATACTTTTACTCTGTATTTAAAAAATTGTGTAAAAATACCTTTATTTTTTTCACATTATGCGAAAACACCCCTCAATTAAATATCTGACATAAATTAGTGTTATAATATCCGTTTTATCATTCTATTTTTTCGAAAATGCTCAATAGGTATATATGTTACGAATATCATAGTAGAGGAAGGTTATGTGCACATGAAATACAATATATATAAGAATTATTGAATTCTAATTCTTTACCGAATTATTGCACATGAAATGCAATAATGAATTAATTATCTATTCCGGGTATGAAATTGTCAAAAATTTTCTATGATATATATTTTTAAATTCAATCTCATTTGAAATTATTTTTTAGTTCAGCATAAAGAATCCTAGCTTAACTACAACAATTGCACAAAGATAAGTAAATTAATATATAGAGGGTATAAATATAAAAGAATGTAATTATTATTGCATTTCATGTGCAATAATTTAGGTAAAGAATTAGAATTAAAAAAAAAAAAAAAGAAGAAGAAGCTTTTCATGTGCACATAATAATCCCTTGGCGTTGGTTGCACAAAATTCTTTTTAAAAAATGTCAAAGTAGGGATATTTTAATCTAAATCTACTTTAAATATGTAGTTAGGGACTATTTACATAAATTTGATTTGATACATTAAGGATATATATATATATATTTTTTACATTTAAGGTATGTGATATGCAATGCAAACATTAGTATTGGAAACCTATATACTGTAACTCGATTGACATGGGGAACTAGGTAAGAGTGGTTTGTCTTGGTTTGATGAGGGATTTAGGTTGGTGGGAATTAAGTTGAAAAGGACAAGAATAACAACGCGCCCATCCCATGGGAAGTGACGCGTGGGTGGTAATTAGAGTGGGAGGGAAAGAGACAAGAGAGAGAGGATGTAGAGTATTGTCTCTCTCGACAATTAACATCGTAGGTCAAGATTGACCCTGTACGACGTTGCTGACACGTACATCATCATGAGCCCAACTCCATTGATGTGTCTAATCACCGAGACTCAGTTTTGCCATGATATCTCCTCAAATCCTCTCACATCACGTACTCTGTCCCAACAGTTTTCACACACCCCTTCACCTTAAATTCCCATTATCCTTGCTCTGCCTCCGTAACCATTTTACTTTAATGTTTGGTTCCGTTGGAGAGGAAAAATAATACTTCCTCCGATTCCATAAAAACAAAATGTTATGTTTGAAAATCGTCATACATAAGCCATAATTTTTCGAATATGACAATTTAATCACCGTTATTTAAACATGCATGACATTTTTTTATACAACAAAAGAGTACTAAAATAAATAAAATACCTCTGCAAAATAAATTATGTTGTTATCTTCAAATTCAAATCAAATGTGACGGTTCCCAAAACAACCTGCATGTCATAAGCAAACCAAATTTAGCGGAATATTGGTCGAAAATGAGTTTGTGAGAGTTGAAACAAGTTGGTCCAAACAACATTAGAAAAAAAAAAAAAAAAAAAAGTCCCGACGTAAACAAAAAGAGTGTGTATTTTTGTTACCGTTTGAAAAAAAACAAATATATGTATATTTGACATTTTGATGGTCTATGTGGCCTGCCTAAACTGTGACAATGGTAATGAATCATTAATAAAAGGTATTTTAACACAGACCGAGGTCCAGTACCCTATTTACAGGACCACATGTTACATGAGTGATCTTCACCTTTGTGCAAAATGGTAGGCCTTTTTAATTTGCTACAACGTAACAGTAGGGTTTCTGTTTTACAATAAAATATTGCTTACCAAAATATATATATTATTTAAATCATATACCACGGATAACGGTTATATATAATATAGTGTTATTTTCTTACCTTAATTTTTTTTTTGCCAATATATATATATACAGAAAATAAAATAACTGTTAGATTACATTAGACAATTAAGAAGGAAATTTATTCTTTTATATCCAATAGTTAAGATTCAATTCGTATATAAATTTTTTGCACAGCGGTGAGTAAGTGAACAGTCCACTCTCTCTCTCTCTCTATATATATATATATATATCCAAAACTATTTCTAGGGTTTTCCTTGCTTGTGAAGAGAGAGAGAGAGAGGGAGAGGGGGTTGGTGAGCATCGTTGTTCATCAAATTCTAAGAAAGAAACAGCTTCACTGTTGATTCGGATACTACACCACCACCACCTTCTGCATGATATTTGCAGCTTTTATCCTCGTGTTAGACCTTCTTTAACGTCCTACATCTGACACTATATACCAATATACATACATAGGTCACGGGATCGACTTTCTAATTTCGCTTTTTCCATCTCTATATATGCGTTACACTCCATTTGAAATAAAAATAAAATAATATCACCGGTATATTCTACCTTTTAAAATTGATAGAGAAATGAAGGGAAAATATAGAAGAAATAATATTAGATCATTTTTTTATTCCTTTGATTAAAATAGTGAGTATATATATATATGCTTTATCTATATCACTCACAATATATAAACAAAGGAACATTTTAATTTCTCTCACCATGCCACTAGTTATTCAACAAAAATCTATAACAACAATTTCAGTCCAACTCCGTATCTACTGTCATCATCATATTTGATTTGAAACGTATCTATGCAGATCCATATGTATCCAACACATATCATTCAAATATTTTTATAAAATATTAATTAGGTTTGATCTAAGGTTAAATTCAATTTATTTATATCCAAATTTGACTTAGATTTATAGATCTTTATAAAAAGATTCACATCTGACCATTGTGTCTTTGGATTCAAATTTAAAATACAATTTCTTTAAATGATCTTTGGGTAAAATTAAATTTCTGACCTAACCGATGACCTCCCATATTACTTAAGAAATTAAATAAATTGATGTTTATAAGTGTGTAGATACATTTTGAGAACCATTAAAGATACGTAAAGATATATCTGATCCATTAATATCACGCACAACTAATATAGAGTACAAAATCCTTACCTCGAATTTCCGGCCAAAAAAAAATATTTCAATGCACAGGCATGCATGCATGTGATAAGTGACAACAGCAAACCAACCAAAAACCAACTAAATAGGAGAAAGCAAAGAAAATCCTCCACAAAGTTAGACGACCAACAGGCGCAAATTAGAACATAGCATTTACAGATGCAAACAAATTCAGCACACATTTATATACACACACATATACGTACATATAATAGAACTACTACACTTTTATTCAAAGCACATCAGCTAAGAAAATTAATTAAAGTACAGTACATTCAACAGTCACCTATAATAAATACACCATAATAATAGGTCAAGTTAGATCGAACTGATGACTCTTCAAACACACACACACACACACACAAAGGGCAAAAAGAGAAGTATATATGTATATGGTTTTGTAAGGGTGGTGACTATCTTACGCCGGGGGGGTCACGGACTTCGAAGTAGGAGCGGTTCTTGACGACAATGTCGTACATGTGGAGGGGCTTGAAGTTGGTGAAGTCTCTAGGGAGAGAGATGAGATGGGCGGATTCTTCTGACTTGTGGAACTGGAGGAGATCCGACCCGCTTGGGTTCTGGTACCGGGTCCACCCAAGCTCTATCAGCCGCTGCTCCAGCTCGTCGTATGACTGGATCACTTGGTTTTCCGGGAGGTAAACCAGGACCCGGGGACGTGCTCCGGGAGCAGTGGCTGTGCCCGGGTATGGTGGTTCCTTTTGCTCGAAGGACTCACGGGTCGGGTTGGAAATGAGTCGAGCCACACCCTTATCGTCGAAGATCCACACGCCTGACATTGTTACATTAGGAGAGAGATAGAGAGAAAGTGAGAGGGAAAGGGAAAGAGGAAGAGAAAGAGAAAGAGAGGACGTAGAATAGGAGTGCAAATCTGATGTGCAGAGGTTTATATGGTATAATGGGTGATAATACATGGGCCTTCAGGCCCCATTTCGCCGTACGTTTTGTTTTTGGTTAAAATTGAAAGTGTTTTTGTTACAGAAGTATTTTGAAAAAAATTCGAAAGTACGTTTGAGAACGATATTTTTGACATTTTATTTTTGGGCCGTGTTTCGTTATTGTTATGGTTTTGAACCATGAATAGTTGTCAAAAATAATAATAATAATAATAATTTTTTAGTATTTTGATTTTAGGACACTGTTCACGAAGTGTTTTAACATTATGTAAAACAAAATAAAGCTGCACCAAACATATTTTTACTGCCAAAATCATCATTGTAGCAGCCCAAAAATAAAAATAAGAGAAACAAAATGCACACCCACCGAGACCTAAATGTATAGGACAACCTAATCTCGAATGCAGTTAAATGATAGGACCGACTTTTGGTGTTACGATGAATCGTGCCCAATGTATGAAGTGTGGGTTGAAATCCCCTCCCATTTCAAGGTTCTGTTTGGTTTGATGAGAATTAATAATGGAAAGTGAAGTGAATGAAATATTTTTATAAAAATTATAAAAAAATTACTATTTTAAGATTTAAATCAATGAAATTTATACCTCCACCAAAATTTGAACCCTTTTTGTAAGAAAATTTGATCAGAAAGTTAGGTCGTTATGCATTAAAAGTAATTTTTCCTTTTCAGCTAGCAAAACTTCTAAAGTGATCAGAATTTTTTTATTTTCTTTTATTTTCTTGTTATTTCTATCTAATCATACTAGTCCCAAAAGAATTATTGTAGTCTACTTGTACTAAGATTATATGCATGTCCGGTAGTGCATTTTCATTTGTATCTGAGTTGTGTCTTTAAATATTTTATGCAATAATTCATATAATTTATGGCGTAGTAAAGAATTTCTTTTGATGGAGCCAATCTTTAAAAGCAATAATATATATATATATATATATATATATATATATATATATATATATATATATATATATAGTTTGAACAAAAATAATATATGTAAAAATGAAATAGTATTCAATATTTCAAAATATTTTTCATATTCTGAAAGCGCTGAATAATAACATCATTGTCAACAGTACTAAATATGTTTATCGTAATATATACAACCATCGTATCATTTATCCATTGGTCTGAATAATATCATTGTCAACAGTACTAAATATGTTTCTCTCAATATATACAATCATCATATCATTCATCCATTGGTCTTCCTTTCGATTGTGCAGTCGAGTTTTCAAAAAATTCATGGCATTATAATCGTAAATTTAGATGATAAAAAAAATATATGTTAGATTATCTGTCTCCGCACGGCAGTATTTGTTTAGATTTTGTGAATTTTTGAAATGTTGAAGACTCGCCGAAAGAGAAATGTTGAAGACTGAAAATGTGATGGAAATGATGCATTTGTTTGTGGTAAAGTCAAAAGTGTGAAAGAATATCTTGTATTTTTGGAGAAAGTGGAAAAGAATATAATATTTTGAGAAAGTGAAAAATAATATCATATTTTTTGGAAATATTATACTCCTTTTTTTATTTTTATTTTTATTTTTTTTTGTGTAATACCGTGAATGGTCATTTGGTTATATATATATAGTATATATATGTGTAATGTCAAATTTTAGTAGGGACAATTATACAAATATAAATTTTTTTTATATAAAATTTAAAAAAAATTAAAAGTTCAGTAGGGGCAGTTGCCCTCACTTTGTGGCTAAGCTTATTATGTGAGTTACGTCATCATTATTTTATGGTGTTACAATCTGTCCTTCAGCTATTACTTACGCAATATAAGACAAGAGAAAATTTGATATATTATTTTTAATATTTTTTTAATACAATTTATTAAAAATGTTTGTTAATTCATTTCATCTCCTACCATAAAAAAATTGGGTATATTTTGGTCCTATAAATTTGAGTTGATTTCACTTAGTCTCCGTTTTTTTAGGTAAAATGTTTTTTTTTTTTGTATTTTTCGGTATTTGGTAAAGTATTAGGTCAAGATTAAAGTCGAGTCCTTCGAATAGAACATATAAAATAACTTACCAAAAATTAATGGATAAATTATTTTTATAAAATTTTAATATATTTTTTCTTAATAAATATTTTAAGATAATCAAATATCAAAAAATAAAAAAATATTTTATATCTAAACAAATAGTATCCAAACATTATTCCTTAAAAATATTTTACTTCCAAATAAATAATATCCAAACATTATTTCTTAAAAATATTTTACATCCAAACGAATAATATCCAAACATTGTTTCTTTTTATCAAAGAATTCAGTTTTAGCCGTTGAAGATTATGATGGTTGTATAGGTCAAATGTTTTACCACTTAAAAGCATAACGTAAAATTGGATACAGACTCTGTCACTTCACATAATTTGTGTGATGGGATGGGAGTTAAGTGGAGCCATTAAGCACTCTAGGGATGTGTATCGTGAATGGCTTTCTCATTATCAATTTCATTTAAATCATTAAATCTCCTTAATTTTCTTGCTCAAATGAACAAAGTATTGGATTATATTTCCAATAACCGTTTATATTAATTTATGCCTTCAAATAAAATAAATTGTACAAAATAATTTATGTAATTCCCTTTTTTAAAAAATTTACTACCAATTATTGGGATTAAACCTTATTCAAATTTGTTTACACTTTTCTAAAAGAGATTTTTTTATTTTTTATTTTTTTGTAAATACCTTTTATTATTACAATTGGTGCTATTAGTAATACTATTAAATTTGAAAACTAAAAACAAGGAATGTGTTTTTGTATTAAAAAGAAAGAATATATGAGTGGGTTTGAAATGTGGTCATTATGGTCATTATAGACTATTTATTGTTTGCTTTGGTGCTTAGGGAAAAAGGAGAGGGTGCAAGGCTCGACATATGGACTTTTAGATACGGGGAGTAACTCAACCATTTGGACAACAAGGTACTTGCGAGAAAATTGTAGTCAAGTTTATGAGAAAATGATTTTATGTGGCATGTTTAACAATATATATATATACTATTATTAAATGTGTAAAGAGTTTAGTGTTTCAGTATTCCAGTATTTATTTATTAATATCAAAAAAGAGTTTTTATAAACAAAAAATTACTTAAAAATTATTTAAAGAGTTTAATTCAAATTACAAATTACCTAATAAAATTTATAAAAATCAATTTAAAGAGTTTAATTCAAATTACAAATTACCTAATAAATTCATTTTTCTTGTCCCACATTAGTTTTAAATAAAAAAGATTATATAGAAGTCTCTTATAAAACTATAGACCTAAAGAAATAATAATCACACATTTCTCGACCTTTTGGCTAAGATCAAGTGTAGTACTAAATTTTTTTGGGTCGGCCTTTTGGCTAGCCTTTCTTGGTCTTTTGACTAAGATCAAGTGTAGTACTACTTTCTCAGCTTTTTGGCTAACCTTTCTCGGCCTTTTGGCTAAGATCATGCTAAGATCAAGTGTAATACTACTTTCTCAGCCTTTTGACTAACTTTTCTTGGCCTTTTGGCTAAGATCAAGTAAAATACTAATTTTTTTGGGTCGATCTTTTGGCTAACCTTTCTTAATCTTTTTGGCTAAGATCAAGTGTAGTACTACTTTCTCGGCCTTATTAATTCAAATAAAATATAAAAATTATTACCTAATAAAATTCAAATAAAATATTTATTAAAACTCTTAACAGTGGGTGATAATGCCTCAGACAACTTGCATGAATTGTATACCTGGATACTTCTACTTTTTTTTTTTTTAACCTTTTTTTTTTTGTGGTAAAAACTAAAGTAAACCTCTAATATTCATCCCAATAATGATAGTGTCATGACTAGGGGCGAGCTAAGGAAATTACATTTCATGAGGCAAAATGACAAACGGCGGAGAGAAATTAACAAGAAATACATTTCAAATTATATATTTCAAATTATAGAATCTCTAAATATTATTACCTAATAAAATTCAAATAAAATATTTATTAAAACTCTAACATTAAAGTCTAAAAATTATTCTAACAAAAATTACCTATTTATCTATTTATTATGAGTTTTTTAATAAAGTGAAATCTAATTTGACAAGGATTATTAATATAAAAATTATTTATTAATTGATATAAAAAGAGATTAATTTTAAAAAAGTTTCTATAAAACTCTAACATAAATTACCTATTTATATATTTATTATGAGTTGTTTAGTAAAAGAAAATCTAATTAGACAAGAATTATTTTAATAAAAATGTGCAAAGATTTTCAGTGTTTGAGTATTTCAGTATTTATTTATTAATATAAAAAAAAGAGTTTTTATAAACAAAAAATTACCTAAAAATTATTTAAAAAGTTTAATTCAAATTACAAATTACCTAATAAAATTTATAAAAATTAATTTAAATAGTTTAATTCAAATTACAAATTACCTAATAAATTCATTTTTCTTGTCCCACATTGGTTTTAAGTAAAAAGGACTACATGAAAACCTCTTATAAAACTATAGACTTAAAGAAATAATAATCATACATTTCTCGACCTTTTGACTGAGATCAAGTGTAGTACTAAATTTTTTTGAGTCGGCCTTTTGACTAACCTTTCTAGGTCATTTGGCTAAGATCAAGTGTAATATTACTTTTTCGGCCTTTTGTCTAAGATAGTGCTAAGATCAAGAGTGTCGCCCTTTTGGCTATGATCATGCTAAGATCAAGTGTAGTATCACTCTCTCGGTCTTTTGGCTAACCTTTCTCGGCCTTTTGGCTAAGATTAAGTAAAATACTAATTTTTTTTGGGTTGACTTTTTGGCAAACCATTATCGGCCTTTTGGTTAAGATCAAGTGTAGTACTACTTTCTCTTCAAATAAAATATTTATTAAAACTCTAACAAGAAA